TTAGCACTATTATGATATTATTCGTATTCTCTATTTTATATTTGAATTATATAATAAAAAATAACTTTTTAAGTTCCGAACCTAATCCTAGCCTTCTTGGTCCTTAACACAACCATCTAGTTAACCCTCTCAACTTGTTGGCACCTAATGCTTGGTGCTTCATATTATATTATATTTCATGGGTGTGTGATCTCAATGGACTCATTTTTTAAGTGCTGCTGCGTAGAAATTAACCTTTTACAATGCTTCAGATATGGGTAAGGGTCATTATAAAATAAGAAAATGATGTGTGCACACCCGGGTCCCGGGTCAACACCCAGGTGTGCACACTCCCAATTGAGAAAAAAAAAAAGCCCATCACCACCTAGTCCAATTTTTTTTTTTTTTTTATGTGGGGTGCACACTCAAGTGTTAGATCAAGGTGTGCACCAATCAAAATCTTATAAAATATCATTATTTTTGCTTAATTGTTGATGAAAGACCCAAGACACATCAAGCCATTAGGACTAGAAAAAACAAATATTCTTGGATAATCTAATGTAAGGGATTTTTATCATCTTGTAGTACTGAAAATAACTTAAGAATAAACTAAAGAAGCATAAATCATATAATTATAATCAGGAAGTTGTTTATGTTAGCATTAGTGGCATGGACAAGCTTTTGTTGTTGATGATGCTTTGTAGAAACCGATTTCTTTGACCATGATGAGCAATGCCTAGAGAAAACTGATTGCTTGGTTCTTTGTGAGGGGCCATGTACCCATTGCTTTTGATCTTTTATGGAGTTGATAGTGACTCTTTGTATGCTTCTTTTCACATCATGTAGAAATCATAGCATGCCCTCTTGCAATTTTATACAGATTTTATGTTTATTTTTACATTACAGTCAGTCAGATAGGGGCACTTGCTTGTTTTGAATTCTGAGAAATCAATTCTAAATTTAAGTGCCTGGTGGGAGAAAATTAAAAATTTAGAGCACAATTGTCTTTGAACAATTACAAGAATTGAACCAAGCTCCAAATCAAGTCTTAATTCATTTAGTCTTATGCATTCCCATTCAAAATGGGATTTTTTTTTTTTTTTTAAGAAAAAATTTCTCAGGAAATGTGGCTAAGATAACCCTCTTGACTTGGTCAAGGCAAAATTTGGAGGAAAATTACATTTTCCTTCTCCAATCAAAGAAGAAAACTCCATATGGGAAAAGAGGTTATAAAACAACAAAAAGGTATCAACAAAACATTAAGACCCTCTCAGCTCTCTTCCCTCATATTCTCTTCCTATAAAAGCAGAGCTTAACCCATCACAATCTTCAAAACAAACAGAACTCAATTGATATAGAAAATGGCTAGGAAAAGAAAGGGTGGAGAAGTGCTGGAAGAGAAGACCACCAATGAACAAATGATGGCTTCGGATAAGATGGTGAAGGAGGCAATAGCTGTTGCTGCATTGGGAGGAGTCAGGAGGGCTCGGAAAAGATTTGTAGGAGTTCGGCAAAGGCCGTCCGGAAGATGGGTTGCTGAGATCAAAGACACCATACAGAAGATAAGGGTGTGGTTAGGCACCTATGACACTGCTGAGGAAGCAGCCAGGGCTTATGATGAAGCAGCCTGCCTCCTCCGGGGTGCCAACACCAGGAGAAACTTCTGGCCATGTTCTTCGGCATCTAATCCAACCCCAGCTCTCCCTCCAAAGATCACCAACCTTCTCCTCCAAAGGCTGAAAGCCAGACACAATTCCCCTGCTTCTTTTCTAGATTCTGCCTCCATCAACAAGCAAAAAATTGAAGGAGCAGAGCAGCATCAAGGAGAAGCAGGGGTTTTCTATGATAGACAGTTCTCTGGTTTCCTCAATGATCCTGAAGATTACACTATCTCCAATGGTTGCTATGTCGGTAATACCACTGTAAATGTTGCTGATTACTTGACATCGAGTCTTGAATGCTGTTTAACAGACAAGGAAGATTTAGGTGGGAGAGAATTGGAGCTAGATTACTGTAGTTTCAGTGATGCTGCACAATGTTCCAAGTGTGGAGACCGTGTTGAAGATGGAGAAGAAGGTCTAGATATGGAAGCACTTGATTTCCATTTTCTGGATGACATTGGATCATCCTACTACTACTCTCCTTTTGAGATGGCAGAAGAAATTGAAGAGCCAATGGAGGCAGAGAACTTCTCAGATGAGCCCTCAATGTTAAGAGCTGCCATGAAGAGGATGAAGTATGAGAGGAAGTTCTCTGCATCTCTTTATGCTTTCAATGGAATATCAGAGTGTTTGAAGTTGAAGCTCGGGTTAGAAAAAATCAAGGGTGGAAGAGGAAGGGTTGAACAATCTTCCATTAAACTCCCAGATGAGAAGAAAGATGAAGGGTATGAAATTGAAGTTATGGGGAAGAAAATGGAGGAAAGTCCGGATTCTGCAGGCTGTGTGGAAATGGGGTCTTCATCAAGAAATGAAGGTGAACTTTCTCCATGGAGCTCGTTGGATCTTCCAACAAGCTGTTTTGTTAACTGATGGATAGCCTGCATGAGTTCTATGAATTCCTGGCACAAGTGCTGATCTTAGAGATACCTTGGGGGAGCAATGATATGTAATAATCAATTTGTAGCATTTAAGGTAGTTCTTTTTTGTCATGCTCATGAATCATGAAGTATGAGCAGTTGAAAAAGTTTCGTCATTCATCTTAATGAAGTTTCACCTCTAATACCAGATTTTACAGTGTATCTTAGATTCAACATTGCTCGAAAGTAAACTTCAGCTGTGGATTGCACAGGATATCATAACCAGGTCGAGAGGAGAATAATAAGTACAAACAAACTACTGCCTATCAATTTAAAGAATGTGTTTGAGTTGTTAAAAATAATAAACAACAACAACAACAACAACACTAACAAGTATTGTGGTGTTGGCCTTTCAATTCATGTTTAAATGAAGTGCCACCGTGAAAAGCAAAAGACAGGATGACTATGGTGGCAACGGCAACTGGAGTTTTACATCTTCAAATCTGAAAATTTTAGAGGAAATTAATGAAACTGAAACTGAAAACAAGTCTGCCAAGAGAGGAAGAGTAACCACACTGAATTCTGAGGATGAAATTCACATTCCATTGAAATTAAGAAGATTTATTATGGTTCTCTTCTTGTTGTCACTTTGTTCAGAGAAGTAGATATGCATCTAACAGAAATCTTTGCCGAACTGAATATTCCCTAGAAGTCACAGTTAAGGGATTCAAATTGGCTAAAAAACTGCTTAATCTGTATGGTTTGTTATATTATTTACTGCACAGGTTGCTAAGATTTATCACACTGAAATTACTCATAATCAAAACTAACAATTTTGGTACATAAGATGTCCAGCTGATCATACAAGCTGGTGATTCTCTTTAAAATCTTCAGCCAAAGAGGCTCACAACAGTTAAATATAGAGTTTATGCTCCAATAGGCATTTTGTAATGTTTCTGCACCTTCAGGGAAAAGAATATTTGAAAAAGGTATGGTGCAGATTTTAGTCTTCACATATGAGTGGTTAAATACCATCATATCCCTAATATGCACTCACAGACATTGAGTGGTACCTTTGAGAAATGAATTCTACGCAGAATATGGTATTTTCAGTGCCATTCTCTGAGCAAGCCAAGGCTTTTCAGGATCAGGGTCAATGAAACTGTGCGATAGGAATTGCTCTGCTTCTTCATCCATAAGTTCTCTAGCCCATGTTACCCGTTTTGATGGACAACAACCTGGTCCAAAACACCTTCAGTTTTGACAAAAGATCCATGATTAGTAATGTGAACTGGATTAAAATGAACAAAGTTTTTTGACCAGGCGGTGGAAAGGGTGCAAGTTTGAAAGTATTACACCATAAAAGCAGAGCTTCAGTGTTGAAAATGATAAAGATGGAGAGAATATAATCAAATGCAGGAACTGTTCCATCCTAGTCTAGTTCTGACCAAGGACGACCTTCCCACCAACTAGCAGTTAAATGACAGATATTGCAACTTCAAAACCCCGTCACACCCCTTATTAGCTGGAGCCATATGAATCAAATTTTCAAGGTGATAAAAGTTTATGAACACGAAGTCAGTAATATTTCATCAAGTTTTATTCAGAAATTCCAGAGCAATAAAACTTCAAAAGAGTTGACAAATATACCTGTACTCATAAAAGCAAGCACTTCTCTCATTTTCAGCTTTACCCCAGTTATGCCAACCGACATCTCTGATACATTGATCCATATAGGTGTATGCAAAGACCACCCTTCCAAATGGTCCCCATGGACGTCCAAGATGCATGTATGGAGATCCTCCATTGCCAGTGATTACACACCTGCATCAATGACAACAGTTGCTAAGTGGAGAAAATATCAAAAAATGCAGCAGAATAATTTGGATCCAAACAAGTTTTATTCACCAGAGATGATCACTAATACAAGTACCATTGTAGAGTGTTCTTGCAAACCAAGAGGATAAATACTCTTTAATTCAGTCAACAACAAAACTACAAGGAAGCTAGATTGGTTCATTGAACACTATGGCTACAAGGCATAGCAGATAAAGATCAGGAATCCAAATTTAGAAAAGACTGACTACAAAGCAAGAAAGCAAATGGATAATTGAAGGGGATAAAAAATAAAGAGAGAATAAATAAAGCAACAGAGAAAATCCAGACAACTACAGACCTCAAAAACACATAGCCAGTTGATTCCTGAGAAGACTTCCTGCTCTGTGCGGTTATAAAACCTTCTGACTTGCAGTGGATATGACAATGCTCGAAGAGGGCAGTGCTATTTCCAAATATGAAGTCCACGCTTCCTTCAATATAACAATCTTTCAGATACTGTTTCCCATGATGCAAGTAGAGAGTATCCTGCAAAAGGATATAAAAGCAGTAATGTTTCAGCTAAAAGTAAATTTAAAAATGTTATACATTCTCAAAATGGCCATGAAAACATTAGAGATCCCTGCAGAAGTCAACCATTCGAAGACACAAACATATAGTAGTTTGGAAACTATTGTTCTTGATCTTAAATTCATTAGATTGATTTCTTACACACACAATTCTTTCGGTACAAAGGTTTCCCATTTTTAATCAAACCAAAATTCTTCTCAATGGCAGACCCAATACTCCAAGATGTTTACAAAAGGCAGAGTGCTATTGTCCCAAAAAAGAGCACGTCTAAACAAAAGTTCCAAAGTAATCCACTCTATTGCTTCAAGTAAAAAACTAAAGGTTCCATCACTAACATATTAGGCTAACCAAATTAGAAAGATCACCTGCCACCCAAGAAACCTGCAATTATAGAACGCACATCTATCTGCAGTAGCTCTGAGTGCCACGGCTTGGCCTGAACCCTGTAAGAAAAAAGATATAGGCATTATGCCAACATCAAAACATTCACAGACAACTCAAAATCTGAACTTGGAGAATACCCAGAACCAAAATAGCAAACTTTAAAAGTGCCAAAGGGCAAGAAAGCAAACTGATCTAAGAAAGACAGAATAGAACAAATGTACCTGAGGAGAAGAGTTTTCAAAAGTGACATTTTCTGCAATAAAATCTTCTCCCTCCACTATCACAGTCCCGCATCCAAACGTTCCCGTCCCAATCAACCGAGACGCCTGGATCAAAAGAGAAACTTCATCACCATCAAAAAGAGATCCCACACGAGACAGTAAGAAATTTGGTTTCAATTACCTGGTGGTGTTCGATTTTGGTGGCAGTGTTGTTCCAGGAGATGACAGTGTGCTCTGGACGGAGACCAGCGAGGGTGATAAAATTCTTGGTCTTAGGCACATAAACTGGTTGCCGGTAAATGCCAGGTCTGAGACGAATCACCGTGCGAGAAGTGTTGCTGAAGGGCACAGAATCTATCGCGTCCTGAACTGTAAGGAAGTCTCCCGTACCGTCCTGCGCCACCGTCACCACTCTCGCCGCCATCGATCCAACCCAAAAAAAAAAAAAAAAAAAAAAACCCTCCTTTCTCACTCTGTCAAGCTCTTTGAAGAGGGTATGGGGCGGCGAAGGGATCAAATTGAGAAGGCCAAAAGCGACAACGAGAGAAGGGAAATGCTGTTTAGAATCTATAAAATGTAGTAAATATTTTGTTAACTTATCAAGAATTCACTCAGAATAATGGACAGTTGACTCTGTAGTCTGTTCTGATGTGGGGGGAGCACACGGTCAAGTACAGTGCAGCCTTCTTTCTTGACACGTTGCCCGCTTGCGGATGTGGTGGGTTTTTCTTTTTTGAACATGAAAGAATTTAAGGCAGGGAGATTCCTTTTTCAAGGAACAGGAGAGAGTAGAACTTCTAACTTATTTAAAGTCAATTTCTTGGGTTTGGATGGTAAACCAATGGGATTCATGAGGTAGTTTTGATATGGTAGATTTTTCTTAATATATTGTTTAGAAAGAAATTACATTAAGTTTGACATACGTAAAATTTGTTCATATTAAGTACCTTTTGTATTGGTATGGAATAAATTTTATTTTTGTTCATAAAATTTTTTGCTATATGTGCAAATTTTGCTCAAGAGGACATTAACGAAATGCTTATTGCAGCTTGTACTTGGGTCAATCGTGCCTGAAGTGTATTTTCCTTTTAGAAAAACTTTTTTAAAAGAGAAGAGACCAATGAGATTTTAAGGGCACAATGTGCGTTGCCCAGTGCACATAGCTCTTATCTATAAATAAATATCAAAAAAACCTACTTTGTGTGGCTTTGAGGATTTAATTTAAAAGAGAAGTAACAATTGAAATATTTTACTACTAAAAATGTTAAAATATGTAATATAACCATATAATATATCTTGTTTGATTTAAGTAGAATATAGATTAGATTGATAGTATGTCCAATCTTGACTATATATATCAAATATGATTAAGTCATTAACTAAAACTTATACTATCTTATGATTTTTACATTTTTACATTAGTTGATTTTTTCACTTTCTCAATTTGAAAAAGGACAAAAAAAAAAAAATCTTTATGAATCAAAACATAAATCTAGCCCAAAAGTAACAAATCCAACCGCCCAACCCAATATGAAAATCTAAAAAATATAGCAAGGCCCAGGGCCCAAAAGGCAACCAAACCCAAAGGCCCAAAAGACATCATTTGTCCACTGAACTAACCCTAGATTTTTGTCGATAAATTCCACCCTGGGAAGAACGGCGATCACATCTGATCGCAAAGCAGCTTTCATAACCGAGACAATGGTTTGCGTGGTTAATCTAGACAGTAGATTGCTCGAGTTAATGGCAGAAGGCCTTTCAATTCATGTTTAAATGAAGTGCCACCATGAAAAGCAAAAGACAGGATGACTATGGTGGCAACGACAATTGGAGTTTACATCTTTAAATCTGAAAAGTTTAGAGGAAATTAATGAAAATGAAACTGAAAACAAGACTGCCAAGAGAGGAAGAGTAACCACACTGAATTCTGAGGATGAAATTCACATTCCATGGAAATTAAGAAGATTTATTATGGTTCTCTTCTTGTTATCACTTTGTCCAGAGAAGTAGGTATGCATCTAACAGAAAACTTTGCCGAACTAAATATTCCCTAGAAGTCACCACTAAGGGATTCAAGTTGGCTAAAAAACTGCTTAATCTGTATGGTTAGTCAAATTATTTACTGCACAGGTTGCTAAGTTTTATCACACTGAAATTGCTCAAAGTCAAAACTAACAATTTTGGTATATGACATGTCCACCTGATCATACAAGCAGGTGATTCTCTTTAAAATCTTCAGCCAAAGAGGCTCACAACAGTTAAAGATAGAGTTTATGCTCCAATAGGCATTTTGCAATGTTTCTGCACCTTTAGGGAAAAGAAAATTTGAAAAGGGTATGGTGCAGATTTTAGTCTTCAAATATGACTGTTAAATACCATCATATCCCTAATATACACGCACAGATATTGAGTGGTACCTTTGAGAAATGAATTCTAAGCAGAATATGGTATCTTCAGTGCCATTCTTTGAGCAAGCCAAGGCTTTTCAGGATCAGGGTCAATGAAACTGTGCGATAGGAATTGCTCAGCTTCTTCATCCATAAGTTCTCTAGCCCATGTTACCCGTTTTGATGGACAAGAACCTGGTCCAAAACACCTTCAGTTTTGACAAAAGATCCATGATTAGTAATGTGAACTGGATTAAAATGAATACAGTTTTTTGACCAGGCGGCGGAAAGGGTGCAAGCTTGAAAGCATTACACCATAAAAGCAAAACTTCAGTGTTGAAAATGAGAAAGATGGAGAGAATATAATCAAATGCAGGAACTGTTCCATCCTAATCTAGTTCTGACCAAGGACAACTTTCCTACCAACTAGCAGTTAAAATGACAGATATGGCAACTTCAAAACCCAGTCACGGCCCTTGTTAGCTGGAGCCATATCAATCAAATTTTCAAGGTGATAGAAGTTTATGAATATGACGTCGGTGATATTTCATCAGGTAATATGCAGAAGTTCCAGAGCAATAAAACTTCAAAAGAGTTGACAAATATACCTGTACTCATAAAAGCAAGCACTTCTCTCATTTTCAGCTTTACCCTAGTTATGCCAACCAACATTTCTGATACACTGATCCACATAGGTGTATGCAAAGACCACCCTTCCAAATGGTACCCATGGACATCCAAGATGCATGTATGGAGATCCTCCATTGCCAGTGATTACACATCTGCATCAATGACAACAGTTGCTAAGTGGAGAAAACATCAAAAAATGCAGCAGAATAATTTGGATCCAAACAAGTTTTATTCATCAGAGATGATCATTAATACAAGTACCATTGAAGAGTGTTCTTGCAAACCAAGAGGATAGATACCCTTTAATTCAGTCAACAACAAAACTACAAGGAAACTAGATTGGTTCATTGAACACTATGGCTACAAGGCATAGCAGATAAGGATCAGGAATCCAAATTTAGAAAAGACTGACCATAAGGCAAGAAAGCAAATGGATAATTGAAAGGGATAAACAATAAAGAGAGAATAAATAAAGCAAGAGAAAAAATCTACACAACCACAGACCTCAAAAACACATAGCCAGTTGATTCCTGACAAGATTTCCTGCTCTGTGCAGTTATAAAACCTTCTGACTTGCAGTGGATATGACAATGCTCGAAGAGAGCAGTGCTATTTCCAAAAATGAAGTCCAAGCTTCCTCTGATATAACAATCTTTCAGATACTGTTTCCCGTGATGCAAGTAGAGAGTATCCTGCAAAAGGATATAAAAGCAGCAATGTTTCATGTAAAAGTAAATTTAAAAATGTTATACATTCTCAAAATGGCCATGAAAACATAGAGATCTTTGCAGAAGTCAACCATTTGCAGACACAAACATATAGTAGTCTGGAAACTATTGTTCTTGATTTTAAATTCATTAGATTGATTTCTTACACACAGAATTCTTTCGGTACAAAAGTTTCCCATTTTAATCAAACCAAAATTCTTCTCAATGGCAGACCCAATACTCCAAGATGCTTACAACAAGTAAAATGCTATTGTCCCAAAAAAGAGCACGTCTAAACAAAAGTTCCAAAGTAATCCACTCTATTGCTTCAAGTGAAAAATAAAAGTTCCATCACTAACGTATTAGGCTAACCAAATTAGAAAGATCACCTGCCACCCAATAAACCTGCAATTATAGAACGCACATCTATCTGCAGTAGCTCTGAGTGCCACGGCTTGGCCTGAACCCTGTAAGAAAAAGATATGGGCATTAGGCCAACATCAAGACATTCACAGCCAACTCAAAATCTGAACTTGGAGAATACCCAGAACCAAAATAACAAACTTCAAAAGTGCCAAAGGGCTAGAAAGCAAATTGATCTAAGAAAGACAGAATAGAACAAATGTACCTGAGGAGAAGAGTTTTCAAAAGTGACATTTTCTGCAATAAAATCCTCTCCCTCCACTATCACAGTCCCGCATCCAAACGTTCCCGTCCCAATCAACCGAGACGCCTGGATCAAAAGAGAAACTCCATCACTATTAAAAAGATATCCCACACGAGACAGTGAGAAATTTGGTTTCAATCGCCTTGTGGTGTTCGATTTTGGTGGCAGTGTTGTTCCAGGAGATGATCTTTGAAGAGGGTATGGAGCGGCAAAGGGATCAGAATCATCAGATTGAGAAGGCGAAAGGCGACAGCGAGAGAAGGGCAATGGCATTTAGAATCTATAAAATGTGGTAAATATTTTGTTAACTTGCAAAGAATTCACTCAGAATAATGGACTGTTGACTCTGTTCTGATCCAGGGACAACACACGGTCAATTAGAGTGGAACCTTCTTTCTTGACACGTTGTCCGCTTTGCGTAGGTGGTGGGTTTTTCAAAAAAATGATTTAACTCATTTTTTTAATTAAATTTATTTATTTATTTAAAAATATCTAAAAATTATATAAAAATAATATAAATAAATTGTTCCTATTAAACCACTTTTTTTAAAATACCGTTTAGAAAGAAATTACATTAATTTTGATACCTGTAAAATTTGTTCGCGTTGGATACTTTTTGTATTTACATGGAATAAAGTTTTTTTTTGTTGATGGAAAAAAAATTTTATATGTGCAAAATTTGCTCAAAAGAACATTGACGAAATGCTTAGGGC